GAGGGACAGAGTTCTTCCTATCCCTTCCCAACTTCCCACCCTTTCGAATATCTTGTAACCTGCCCATCCCTGGATCCAGCAAGCCTGGTGCTAGTAGGGAATAGTTAGGTTTACTGTTGTTTCCTGCAATTCTTGAAAGCTGAGCCAGTAATCACAAAGTGACTGCCCAGGGATAGCTGCAAACTGCCATAAATAGGATACAACAAAGGCAGGGGAGAGGATGAATTTGCATGGCAAGGGTTGCCATTGGATCTGTGTGAGGGACTGCAGCCTTCTCCCAAGGTGCTGATAATCCCTGGTAGCACTGAATTTCTGCATAACTGATCACATATCTCAGTTTAAATAGCTGGTTGTTAGTAAATGTTTATTGGCTAAACTCTCGTTAGAGGAGTCCTGAAAGAAACTTCCTTATCAGCCTTTGCTTTGGAGCCGTGTATCAACAAGGGAATGGAGGCAAGGAACCCAGTCCTTCTTGATGCAGAAAGGGTGACGGCAAAGACATCTTTCTTTCTACTGGCCGTTTACTTTGTCCCCTCAAGCCTGGATTAAAGGTATAGGCGATGTGTGCATGTGAGGTTACTACAGTCCTGGAGTTGCTCCATAGCAGTCACTGGAGCTGTACGCAAGGTTGAACTTCATTCAGCGTGGGACTTAGCACTCTTCTGGGAAACTGCAGATTCTGCCCATTAGTAGACTAGGGAGAAGGGTTGGGTTTTTTAAGAAAAAGCAAAATTACTTGAGGCAGTTGTTGCAATGTGACCCCCGTCAACTCTACAATGAATTCCACCCTTCCACTGCTGGTCCTGACCCATACCTCTGCTGAAGCTGTGGGAATGGTGAGACTGACATGCTGAATGGTGTGCTATTGAGCGTATTTTTAAAGGGAAAAATAGGGAAAACACTCAGCATATGTGCTAGGCTCGAAGGAGAATGCAGATATGTGGAGGTCTTGCCTTGTTTTACCAGCAATATTTACTGTGGGATTATAAGTAAAAGGACCATGGAATGCCTCTTCATATTCATGGGAGCTCTGCACATGGACCAAGCACTATCAAGTATTAGCATAATTTGACAACAAAGGTTTTTAATAATGTCCTTCAAAAGAGTCTGTCTTTCAAACTGGCATTTGTGATCATTTGCAAAAATGCCTACCTGTTGCCTTTGATTGTTTTAGCAAGAAGAAATACCTCAAGGAATTGATAAAAGATCCTAGGACAATCTTTTACAGTTCCTAAAGACTTCAGTGGTCTCTGTTTCTTTGGTTTGCATGTGTTCACGCAGGTGTTACACAGCCCAGTTCTTCTCCACCAGGAAAAGCAGAAAAGACCAAACACATCAAATGCACTGGAATGTAATTGTGTGCGTGTGCGTGCGTGTCTGTGTGTGTGTGTGTGTTCTTAAACTGAATGCAGTCTGACATCCCCTACCCCTTCTTTCTTCCACGTGCCTCACCTTCCCCCTTAGCCACAGAAAGGAGGGTCTCTTCCTGCGAATCCCATGCTGGAAGTTGGTTTCTGGGAAGCGAAACCTAATGTCTGTGGGCTGTTTTTTAAAGCCATGTTTCAGTTCTGTCTTCAGACTCTTTGCTGCCTTTGGGGAATGGAGGGGTGGGAAGGGTAGATTCTTAAACTGTTTTTAAAATCTATTATGGAAATTTTGCATGTATAAAGTTATTCTTAAATCTAAAGGAGTCTCCCTGATTTGTGGACACAGCTCCAGGAGAGCATCGTCACAGATTCCTCAGCTCCGGTTTTGGTCAGACTATTCTGAAAGGAAAATTTGATGACAAAAGGGGGAGAGAGTGGTGCGATGGAAAGACGACATTGTCAGTATCTCCTTAAATAAACGTCAGAAGTTAGGCTTGTAAAAGGGAAATTTCAAAACAGCCCAAGGGATTTGTATGTCTGTATCCACTGGGTGCATTTGAAAGTCCTGACACTAAATTTGAGTTTGGGTATCTAGACTGGTGGGTTTTTTTGGTAAAACTAATCATGTATCTCTTCTTCTGTTCTCTTCAATGGTATGTAGTACAGTCTCCCATGGTTCTAGGTAAAATTCACTGATGAGAGTACTGTGAAATGTGGATTCACATTTTCTCCCTCCCCTTCCTGCATGACTTTTCTACTTTGGTGGGATACTTTTTTTTTTTCTTTTTTAAAACTTCAGAGTCCCTCATCTGGAAAACAAAAAGGGTAAGGTGAGCTGGAATTTGCAATGTACTTAATAAACATTCCCTCAATGGAGGGTTTCCCCATGAGTTCTGATATTCACCAGAATATGATACTGTCCTGCTGCAGAAGTAAACCTGATGCTCTCCTGTGAGATTTCTGTCTGGATTAGTCCTGAAGTGCACACACCTTCTTTGCCATGGACTGAGACCCAGTGAGAATGTAGCATTTTGTTTATCCTGGTTGTGTGCCTCCAGGACTCCTGCCTGTACCAATGGTGACTGGGCAGAGCTCCTTTTTTTTGTATCTGTGCAGTATATTTGCTTTGTGCTTTCTTTCTTTGGTGCTTTTTAATACTTTAATACTTGGATTTTTTTTCTAATAACTGGTACAATTTTTAATAAAATTGTTAAATTCTTTGTCTGTGTTCTTTGTTTTATTTTTTCAGGGATGGAGGGCATTTACACAGCTGGCCCATTCTGGAGTTGCCCAAATTAGTGATACAGTTTGGGTTGTTCAACTTTGACAATATCTGGTAGATCCTTTTATGTGCACCCTAATACCAGGCCCTGCAACAAAGACAAGATTTTCTTTCCAGATTGGATTGCTCTCCTTGGGCACAATTTAATTTATGAAATAGTCTTTCAAGGAGGTATATTCCCACACTTGGATAGAGAACTGCTGCTTCTTGGAGCTGCATGGTTAACTTGCTGCTTCAAATCAGGAAGATCTCTTAAGACATATGTGGGATGCATCCTCCAAATTTGCAAAATGTAACCTTTGATTGATGGCTGCTTACCTACTGCCTACGCAAGCACATTCAAAGGCACTCAGGCCTTGAGAATAAAGACTCATTGCTTGGTAATCCTACTAGGGAAACACGGTTCTCACTGGTCTTCTGAGGTAAAGGCAGTGGAGGAAGGTGGCCGTGGCTTTGAGAGGGCTTGTAAAGTAGCAATGACTCCCTCAAACACAGACATGAGAATGTCTCGGCCATCCCAGGCGACAGCAAGACACGTGTTTTGGTAATCATCAGGCCTGTCCTTCGGTTTTACTCTGTTCCTATAGGGAAAAGCTACCTCCATTAAGTAACAGTAGTTAACCTGGGTGGAGCAGAAATGGTGATGTGTGTGTCGTGAATTATTTGTAATATAGCTGGTCAAATTCCTTCAACCACATTCCTCCTCCAGTGCGATGCTGCTGCTAAAGTGTTCATGGGAGGCTTTAGGGGACCCAGTTAACAATCCTACCCGATGTTAAGTTGCCTCGGCTGGTGTGTGCGTGTTACAAAAGGGCCTTTCATTCCAAGAACACATGATGTGTGTGGTATGAAAAGCCACATGTGCATCTAAGACCACAGGGGGAAAAAGACAGTTTTTCTTTTCATTGTATTAGATCTAGTGAGAAGTGTGTCCCCTGGCCAGCCTCATGTGACCGTGAAAGAGCCTGTTGTAACACACTGATATGAGGGGACAGAAGTGAGATTGATTTAGATGGGAGGGTTGGCTTCTGAATTTCCTCATTCTCGTGTGGTTAAAATCTCACCGTTAATTAAACTCTCACTCTTAAAAGCTTTAATAATTCTTGTATCAAAGAGAAGAATGGCTTTTAAAAATGAATGGTTTGTAATGCTACCCCAGAAGCATTTGCCAAAGCAGCAGCATGCATTGTACCTTGCTCAAAGCAAAGGCAAGTGCACAGATGTATGGACGGCCTCCCTTCCTCTGAGGTCTCCTGGATTAATCTTGGCTCTTTGGTTTGGCTCTGTCATGACCTGCTGTCTGTCACCTGGCCGTGGCAAAGTAGACTCAGGGTGCATGGAAACATTGTCAGGGTTAGGCATCAGGACCAAACACTGCAGGCTGGAACATTCCTATTACAACAGACATTAATACTTTTTTTTTTTTTGTAGTTTGAAAGAAACTGGATATCCTAGAAAATGTACTTCAGAAAAGCTTTCTTCTTAAAATACTAAGCCTGCATACCAACAGGGCATTTTCAATTTATTTCCAGCCATGGCCCCTTTCATGGCAATCACAACATGTCCTTCACTTTCTCTACTAACATACTAGCACTTTAAGGGAAAATGAGTTTTGTTATTAACTTCCTAGCGGTATGCTGTAGGGACAAGGTAAAAAGTTTAAGTAGGATTACTGCTTCAAGGAAAAAATGTTTATCAAGAAGTGCTCAGCCTGTCTCGTTAAAAATAATAAAGCACTGTGAGGACGAGAAAGTTCTTTGGTTGCGCAAGCTACTGCACAAAGCACTCTATTTTCATGGCTCTGGCTGCTGAAGTTTAGAAGCCACTATAGTATATGGATTGGGGAATATTTTTCAAGCACCATTGTTTTATGGTGCAGTAAATGTGCCGGTCCTTAGTCTCTGCAATGCATATGCAAGCTTGGAAGCAGCTCTACTCACCAGCTTTGTCCTTGTGCTCTCACACCTGAGTAATTCAGGAATAATCCAGCCCCATTTCCTGCTTTTGCTCCCCCCACCCCCCACCCCCGCCCTCCTATTTATGGACAGATGGGGGTTGGGAAGGAAAAAGTGTCCCAAAAGCAATTTTTGACAATTTTGGGAGATTGGTGTTAAAATGCAAGAGCTGCAGTTGCTTCATTGCGCATATCGCTGGTTCCTGTTGAAAAGCTTGAACTGAAAGAAACCTGTTTCCAACAGGATTCTAACAAAGAGCAGATGATAATTTCTGGCAGCGAGTTGTCTTCCACCTGACATGATGCGTGGTACCCTAACACACGTACAGAGTCT